TTAGATTGTTGATACTCCTTTGTCCTATTTTCACTCCTCCTCCACCTGTCTCCAAGCCTGCTTTCCTTACTATATGTTCTGCATTTAAGTTGAATAGGTAGGATGATAGGATGCAGCCTTGTGTGACTCCTCTGCCATTGAGAACCATTCTTCTGTTCTGACAGTAGCCTCTTGTCCTGAGTACAGATTCCTCATCAGGACTATCAGATATGTTGGCACTCCCATGTCCTTAAGAGCATTCCATAGTCTTTCATGGAATTTCAAGGAAATACTATGTCCTGTCTGTCTACATTTCAAGTGGCAGAGAAGAGCCTATTTTAAGCATCTAGTCAGAAGCCTTATTGTGTTTAGAACATCAATAAATCTGTTAGCCCATGGAGAGGAACCTCGGGAATATGCAAAAGAACTGTGTTACAAGATACTGTGAATGCTCCCTTCCCCCCATCACTGAGAGATTGATTTTATGTGGTCCGGCTCAGTATTATTTGTAAGGTAAAAAGGTAAAGTAGGAAAAGCAGAAAAGACCTATTAATATAATGATTAGAAGCAAATTTCCTGCTCCCAAAGTATCTGTGAATGGTTGTAGATTACTATTGCATCTTTATGACATCCATAAATGACATCCATCCCTCACTGTAATGTTCACTCACACAGTCTTCTATAGTTTTCCCCCTCCTGCCCTGTTTGGTTATTTCTAGGTATTTTAATCCTGGTTCCTCAATGAATGCATATTGACACCAGTATAATTTTTTTCATGCTGAAAAGAGATGGTCAATATGGAATATATGGGTTTTCTGATTCAGAACTTTTCATTACAGTGTCTTTTGTTTATCAGTTTGCTTTGATCACACATACTGCTGCATATATTTTACTTTGAAAGAGTAATGTATAACTTTGAAGTGATTTATAATGAAGTTACAAACATATGGTATTAATAATTCATCATAAGCCTGTATACATATCTTAAATATTAGACATACACATTCTACACACAGTTAAACAGGCTGAACAGCAAACAGAATCAGTAGTGTAGGTCACAAGTGGCGTATACTTGATGATTACCAATAACTTTTCATTATGTGTATTATGTGCCAGAGATATTGGTGAAGAAAAGGTTTTATTCTGTCTCCACTGTCTCATCCTCACATGTTACATGGAAGAGGTATTCCAAATGATAAGAAAACTGTTTAGAAGAAGCTCTGATAGTCTAGAAGTGGAACCTACAGTTACCTGTTGTGATAAATGCTAGGCAGTTGAAGGAGCAAGTCACTCATATTTGTTCAGAAATTGATGCAACTTCTGTGAAAGTTTCTGATTTTCCACCCATTTATGTTTCTTGGGATAGTTTTCATTTACTGCATCCAGATGATGGGGAAAGGATTCGTTCAGTCAATTAATCCCATGGTTTAAATTTACCTTTGCCAATCTTGGCCGAAAGGTTCTAGTAGAAGTGGACTAATTGGGTGGTAAATTCCTTGTGACAGAAGAATGAGGAAGTAGTGCACCCCCTTGCTAGAATGAAGAATGCAAGAATTTCCACCATATTCTCAAAATGTACTTTATGGGCAAGGTGCTTGAAAATGTGGTGATTGGACATCTTCAAACATTCTTGGAGGAAACACATTCTGGACCCCATTTCAGTCTGGTTTAAGGTCAGGTTTAAGTTTAAGTTACCTGAGTGCTGACTCTGTCACTGGGGGAAAGGTGTGGGGCTTGCTACCCTGTTGACTCTACTATTGGATCAGCAAAGTAAGATGTGACCAGATGGCACTGTGTTATGGTCATTCTGCTTCTGTCTACAGGCCTGATTCCAAGAGTGGCTTTGGAAACTCCTGTCAGCTCCATAACTATTACAGTGCAGAGTGTTCCAAGGTTACATCTTATTGTCCATGCTTTTTAAATATCTATAGGAAGTTGATCTTATTTGTATCCCATCCTGAGAATTTGTGATATCAGGAAATATTTAAATATTTTATTTAACAAACATAATAAATCATATCACCACTAAGTTAATGAAGGGATGAAACACACTAATGAAGTGGCTTCCGGCCACTTTGGAGGCATACCTATTATACAATGCATGCCTCCAAAGTGGTCAGAAGCCATGCCAATGCCATGGAACTGGGAACTGGGATGATCCAGCTCCTGGAAGCGCAGGTTAGCCTCAGCAAGCATGGCCCGCCTTGGGAGCAGGCTGTGGTTGGGGTTTAGACCTGCTCCTAGTTAGAGCAAACTCAGGTCACTCTTCCCCATATGTCTGCTCTGGCCCATACTTGCTAGTTTTGACTATTCATTTTATCCTGGTTGCACCCCTTAAAAATAAAAGTTGAATTTATTTGGTAATTCTCTGTTTAAATATGATCAAGGGAAAATGCAGATTGAAATTCATATTTGTTAACAGATCCTAACAGTCTACAACCAGTGTTACACTAACAGATAGCCATGAAGTGAAACTTTTCTTCCCCTAAAAGCATTTTTTACCATCTAAAAACTGTCTCTTGGGGTTTCTTTGTTGCTAATTGCCATCAAGTTAATTATAATACTAGCAAACATAACAATCTAAAGAATAACAAGTGTTAAGCATTCAGAGATAGTTCTGTTAGTCTGGAATATCAGTATGCAAAGGGATCTTATAGCACTTTGAGACTGAGTGAAAGTTGTAGCATTAGCTTTTATAGGCTTGGTCTATTTCCTCAGTACATTTAACCTTGTCCAGATTATTCCCATTTTGTCGAGTTGTGCACAAGCTGAAGTGATTCTCAGGCTCTTCATTGTTTTATAACAAAAAACTACCTTATTGTGACTAATAGGAAATATTAGATATTACACTGTTTACTAAACAGATGTTTTCTGGGACAAATGAGGAGTCTGTATGCAGTGATAGATAATTCAACTCAGAAGGGAAAGATGTATGTGAAGTAGACCAACCTCCTTTCAAGCTGCCTATTACTTGTGACTTCAGTCTTGTAATTCCTCAGCCCCGAGGGGTGATTCATAATGTAACTAATTTTAATTACGGTAGTTAGATCCTAACACCAATCCTAGGCAGTTACTATAGGATTTTGCAACAGTGGTA